TACCAAAAATTAGAATATTTCAAACCATTATTAAACATAATTTTACTGTTGATATTATTCTCTTAATTAATTCAAATGTTTTTTTAAATTGTATTACATATTCATTAATTTAGTTTCTACAACAATATTCAATTTAATCATATTTTGTACATTGTTAACATAAATATWAAAAATATATATTATATGAACTAATAACTATAAAATCAATAAAAGCCAAAATATAATTTGTTTATCTTTTATAACCAAACTATTATCTCAATTTAGTGAGATAACTTCACTAATATATTATTAAGMTTTATTTTAATTACAAATTATAATTAATTCATAATATTCAAAAAAAAAATTATCATTAGTTAAAAAATAAAACCATATTTAAGTATTAGTATAAGATAAACTAAATAATTATATATTGGTTAAAAATATAATCAGTTTTACTTGCCTCATCAACAGGTTTACTAGGTGTAATTGAYACTGTTTCATTAAAGCATAAACAAGCACAATAATGTCTTTCAGCCTCTACATCAGTAAGAACAAACACAAAAAACCTAGGTTCTTGTCGTTCCGATGACAAAGACCACCCTTGAGGTTGACAAAACTATAAAAATAGTACAATTTTAAATACTCGGTATTAAATTTAATTAATCTTTCCATTTTAGGGATTAATGAAAAAAATCATTTTAATAAATCTGGATATAAATTAGTAATTACCCATTCAATTCCGTCAATAAAAGGAGTGTCATTCCAGTCTTTTTCTGGAAATCTCTGGATAATCATACCTTTACTGGTCCCGCTACCTGTTAAAAAAATTGTAGAAAAGAAATTAAAATMTGGGACGCTTAAATTACGGGCGGTATTCAAATTTATATTGTATAAGCTTTCGCAAAATACATCATTTTTCGCTAAACGACCATTACGCAAAATGATATGTGTTAACAAAACAATATATTTTAACGACATACAATCATAGAGCATAAATCATTGAGTGAAGAATATAGTGTCATAATGTATAATTAAATTAACACAAAGGATTTCTTACGTTCTTTTTCGTGGTCATAGCCTACGACCACGAAATAATCCGCTAGCCGAGACATGACTTAAGTTAGAAGCCCGTCGTTTTGATGAGTCGTGATCACAGTCCACAGTTATTTACACGGCAATAGGGAGCCACAACAACAATAATATTATTACATCGATCGTTATAATGCGAAATCATCGGTCACATAGTAATAAAATAAAATAATATACTAAATAGCAAATATGTAATCAGTATTGGTCCGAGTAGATAAAAGAAAAAAAATTATATTAACAATAAGTAATTATTGTTTTTTTTTATTACGAACATAGTTTAGTTTTAATTTTTTTACTTTTTCGGATTCTGTTGGAATGAATAATGATACGCATAGTGGAAACTCCCAGATAAGATAAAGATGGCGACTTGACGTCACCTGCGTTGACCAGCGGGGTAGTAGTCGTGGACAGAACTTCTGCGCCCATTGCTTATTTGCTTATCGTTATCGCCGGCCAATTATCTATATCGACGATATCCATTATCGTAATTTATCATTTAAATGTTCAAATTTTCAATGCTTCCATCACGAATCACGATGTAGAGTATAGAGATTGTGCTTTCATGATAGAAAATTCAAAATTGAACCACAGAATAGATTTAATATATSATTGAATTGTACTATATAATATATTTATATTATGGTTATTATATAGTCTGTCGTTCAATGGATAGAAATAGCTGAATATTTCATTAAYTCATCATCACGATTTTCCTGAATTAATGTATACAGAGTTACTGTGCTTTTTGAAGTATATGCAAATATAAAATATATTGCTATGCGTTAAAGAATAATAAAATCAAACTTAGATATTATAGCTATGTCTTAAGCTWAACATTATTAAAAAATTAACTTCAATAAATGCATTTAAAATTTGTATTATTAGGTAATTTAAKGCTTTTTTGGTCAATTCTGTATTATAATTTATAATAAATAACAATTATTTACTAAATAATATTCCCAWTTCACAAACACTAAACAATATTCAATCCGACAGGAGTACAGGACTATCCTATTTTTAGTTAATTATCCCGAAGCCCTGAGACATTAAATTAGTCAATAACAATAACGATTATTGAATAATGTAAATACATCACCTAGGCATAGGCTGGGAACTTGGAATAATTGGAATTACGGTTGTAGATTATGATCTGTAGACGAAACTCAAATCATTATCATAGGCGTGCGCAGGCCTCTTTTTCAGGATATGCAGAAGGCTGACAATGGCGCGCCCTGAAAGTTATTTTAAGCTCGTAAAATTCTGATAATATGTATACTCAATTCACAAATATTGAAAAAACCTACTGTTTAATTAAAAAAATATTGTAATAAATACCATAATACAAGAAGTATGTATTTCGCAAATACTTGGTAGTTGATAACTGATAACTGGATGTTTCAATTTTCCAAAGTCGATGTTCGCCCTTCACAGAACTTCAGGGTATGCAGCTGCATAGTGCATAGTGCATACCCATCATACCCGATACCCCCTGCGCACGCCTATGATCAT